TCGATGGATCGAAACCATCCTCTGCTAAATCCTTTTTCTTTTTCCCCCTAGCAATAGGGAAGCAAAATCTTTGAATTCAAAGCTGGCGAGCGAAGTCAAGGGAGCGACTGGCGATGCATCCTTCTGGGAACTTGGGAACTCGCCTTTACCCCGTCCGGAGAAGACAACCCTGGATGGATGCCAGCCAGGGAAAAAGCAGGACGTGGATATTTCGGAAGAGGCAGACACGTGGAGCCGTCAAACGTTGCGGAACTGACTTCCGAGCTGGGGGGGATTGAAGTGATGATTGTTTCATGGAAAATCACCAAGATCCCCCCGCCCCTTCCATTGCTTGCAATTTAGGGCGCTAGGATGGGAAAAAGTAGCTGGGCTATGGGGTGCAGGAGGATGGGAGATGTAGTCCGAGGGGTCTGGGGCGGCGACTGCGCCTCTCCTTGCCTTAGCCTGATACGGGCACGTGGCAAAAAAGTGGACATCTTCTAATCAGGCGGATTGTTCGCTTCCGTATTTCCAAGTCCCGCTCGCAGCCAAAGCAAAGGTAGAAGCCAACATTCACGGAGATGGGGAGAAAAAGAGGTCGCCGCCCGAACAGGGACTTGAACCCTGGACCCTCAGATTAAAAGTCTGATGCTCTACCGACTGAGCTATCCGGGCTCCTGCTGCAACCCGCTTTCCGGACTCCTGTAGTGTGACTCCAGCGCCCGCTGCAGTTTCCAGCTCCGCTGAACGTTTCCATTCTCTGGCCTCGTTTCGGGCCGGTAATCAAAGCGATTCGCACGTGCAACGGGAAAAGAGCAGCGCGTAAGAGCCACAAGCCAAGACTGCAAGGACAGTAAGGATGAGGAAGTGGTAACAGTCACAATAAGGGGCCAAACAGGTTTTAATTGGCAGGGTGGTTAAGTGATGAAAGGCCCTTTGCGCAGATCACAGTTCTTTATGAATCCGGGGCGTTGATTCCCGCTCAAAAGAGAGACTTCCATATAAATGCTGACCATTAAGTGTTGTGAAAAAAGGATATTTTTTAAAAAAATGCCCTTGCACTGATGGGTTGCGCATCTCCAGGCAACCTCTGCCATTACTTGCTCCAGATCTGCGCTGAACAAGCTTCTGTTTCTTCTTCAAGTCTTCCAGGGCTTCGGAAGCCACAGATCCACTGTGAAATATTTCCAAAATATGGAGGAAACTAAAATTTACCAGCACATGCACTTTAACATGGATTCATACAGTCAGCTAATAGGGAAGTAGCTTGGGCAATTGCTAGTCAGGTTCACGTGGTTCCTTTTCGGCTTCTTAGAGCATAAAGATTTGGACTGTGGGAGGAGAGATGAGGGGCACCACTTTCTTGCTTAGTCCTTGCTCTTCCTAGTTGATTAAATTGACCGAGTTGATTACATTAACAGCTGTAACTTCATGGTTCTGCCAACACCTCCTTGAACGCAGGATGTGTCTCTGCATGCTTTGAAGGGTGCAGTAATAAGACTGTTATTGAAAAATCCCAATCTTGACCTTGAAGATCTTCTCACATATGAGAAGTCTCACATATGAAAAAGTGGTGTCCTCACTAGCTCCAAATGTAGTTGGATCATACTGATTTCTTGAAGCCATTTCAACAGTTTATTCTGGAATATGAGAATGTGTTGATTACCTTGATAGGAGGTAATTTGTAGTGATTTGGATCCTTTCTGTTAGGACATGCCAGAACAGGATGTTGAAGGACTGCTATTCCACATCTAGTTCATTGAGTTGGTGTCTCATAGGACTTCATCGTGTCCTGTCTGCTGTTGAACATCTACATGAAACCATTAGGGGACAATCTGGAACTTTGGAGTGAGAAGCCATCAACATACTGATGACACCCAACTCTGATGTTCCTTCCCTTCACACTCCAAGGAAGCACTGAGTACCCCTGACTGTTGCGTAATCTTGATCACAAGATGGATGAGGGAGAAGAAGTTGAAATCCAGACAAGATGGAGCTGGTAAAGAAAAAGCTGGATTCTTGGACTGAGCTGAAGTTTGTTATGGGCAGATTTGCACGTCCTCTGAAAGAGCAGGTTCACAACTAGGGGTGCTCCTTGCCTCCAGCTACCCCTGGATTTGCAGAGGAGCACAGTTACACATCTACACTAGTACACCAACTTTCTTGAGCCAGTTGGCAAGAGTTATTCATGCCTTATTTACAACCCATTTTGACTCTTGTACTTCGTAAAGGGCTATCAGGACCAATATCTGAAAGCAAGGGACAGAAAACATATGACACCTATACTGGAAGATCTTCATTGTTTACCAGTTGCTAACTGGGCACAATTTAGGGCATTCGTGTTGACAAAACTCTTGGTTCCTGACTGTTTAAGGGACTGCCTCTGTCTTGGTGAAACTGCTCAGTTGCTTAGATGAGTGTTTCCCACCATCATCAAAACTGTCTTGTTGAGTATGCGGGAAAGGACCTTCTCTGGCAGCTCTAAAAGGAGTCATATTTGTCTCCCACTCAGAATTTAGGAAAAAGGGGAAACGTTTACTTTCTGATTTAAATTCTTACTCATTTTAAGGATCAGGTTTAGTTGGGTTTATTTCACTGGTATTTTACACTTTGTAAGATAGCTTTATGCTGTCTTCAGTGTTCGAATAAAACAGAGCATTAATTTGAGAATAAATACCATTTAAAATAAATTAAAAAAAAAAACTAAAGGGTTTCTATGGAGGCTGGTGTTTTAAAATGTGCTGCAGCAGTAAGGATGAGAAGGTGCTTAGGGCAATCCTTGATGAAAACCAAGGGGTTCAGGGAATCCTGATTGAACAATGTAGTGAAACCAGGTAATACCGATACCAATTTGGTTGTAATTCGACTAGATTAGATTCACTAAGAAACTAAGCAGGCTGTTGTTACAGATGGCCGGTTAGCTCAGTTGGTTAGAGCGTGGTGCTAATAACGCCAAGGTCGCGGGTTCGATCCCCGTACGGGCCAGCTGCTTATTTTAAGACCAAGAAAACTATGTTAGTAGCATTTCCGATTTGGAAAGCGGAACGCCCGAGCTGTGGCTTGCTTTTGTTTCCGCAAACCTTTTGGAAGCAGAAGTTTTATGTAATTCTCCGCATTTTAGAAGTTGACTGCAATGAGGAAGTGTAGCTTGACAGTGTTAACCATGCACATGTTGGAAGTTCTGTTGGAGAGCAGCTCCTCTTGGTAGGAAAAGGAGAAAAAAGAATTAACATAAAAATTGAAAATTGATGGCAAAAGGGCACTTCCTAAACAAAGTTCAAAATCTTCTTAAGGCGCCTTCTTAGCGCAGGAGGCAGCGCGTCAGTCTCATAATCTGAAGGTCCTGAGTTCGAACCTCAGAGAAGGCAGAAGCTTTTTCCGAAGGAGTAAATGCGAATAATTTCTCTCACTTTCTTGCACAAAACTCTCGTTTAAGTTTCAAAATACTTACATGTGTTGCCTTCGGAGTGGGTACCTCCGAGCCCAAGCCCAAGCAGCAAATGCGTAGCAAGCGAAAGACTCAGAAACTGATTTGTACTGACTCCTGAGAACTTCAGTCTAAGCAAGAGAACGGTGGACCGCGGTGTGAAAATGCATCATTGCAAAACATGTTAACCCCCCAGGAAGCCCAATTGATCCTTCCCCTTTCCTTATTAACTCAGTTTGCAAAATTTATTGCTATATTATTGCATGTAAGCCACTCTGATTTCAGAGACATGCAACTGCTAAGCCAGTGTTTCTCAACCTTGGTGCTGCCGGGGAACTCTGGAAGCCGAAGTCCACAGGTCTTAGAGTCACCAAGGTTGAGAAAAACTGTTCTAAACCATCTATAGATGTTTACAGACGCCCAACTTTAGAATTGCGGGCTGCCTTGATGTAGGTTTAATTCAATTTATGTGTAAGCCATTTTTTCTCAGGGCATTGTCCGCACGTGTAAAAACTACAGGTCCCATAACTTTAAGCCCACTAAAAACTATTTTATCAATCCAGCTAGTTAAGGAAGGTTTCTAGTGGGCTTGAAGTTGATTCCAAGCCACATTAATCATAGTTAGAGTGTGGCCTAATGAAGAGGACCCTCCTCCCTTCAACTTCGGGGGATAATGTCCCTCTTTTGAAGAGCTTCAAGGTTCTCATTGCTCTTATCAGATGGACCCTGACGCTGCCCCAGTAACAGCAGCTCCTCCCTTGTCCAAGTGGGTGGCTCTTAAAAGAGCCTTTGGTGCTCGCATCGGGAACTCTTCGCTCTGCGGGAAAGAGAAGCTACTTGGAGCTGGTGTACTTGGTCACGGCCTTGGTGCCCTCCGAGACGGCGTGCTTGGCCAGCGCGCCGGGCAGCCGGAGGCGCGCGGCCGTCTGGATCGGGCGGGAGGTGATGGTGGAGCGCTTGTTGTAGTGCGCCAGGCGGGAGGCCTCGGCCGCGATGCGCTCGAAGATGTCGTTGACGAAGGAGGTTATGATGCTCATGGCCTTGGAGGAGATGCCGGTGTCGGGGGGCACCTGCTCCAGC